GAGTTTGTAGGTGTTCAGAATGGTTTGATCCCTATCCAGCTGAATTCCTGAGAGGAGACGAAATCCAGGTCTCCTACTCCTCCGCCATCTTGCTCCGCCCGCCCCCATCCCCAGAAATCTTTAATCCCATACATAGGAGCTTCATTGGCTACTTGGCACAAATCTGATCAGGGCAAATTCACATCATTTCCAGCTAATATATATGTAGGTAATGCAGAACGTTTTTGATTAATCTGTGCCCAGACTGAGTTATAAAACATACTGACTCCAAAATCCGACATGCTTCTCAGGCCAAAAGAAATGCATTTAAGGGTGCCTGGGTGGCTCAGTTGGTTGGGCGACTGCCTTTGGCTCAGGTCATGATCCTGGAGTCCTAGGATCGAGTCCTGCATCGGGCTCTCTGCTCAGCAGGGAGTCTGCTTCTCCCTCTGACCCTCCCCGCTCTCATGTGCTCTCTCTCTCATTCTCTCTCTCAAATAAATAAATAAAATCTTTAAAAAAAAATGCATTTAAGAACGTATTCCCAGTTTTTGATTATCCATTCCACTTCTTCCTTGTATAAGCATGGGTAGTTTGTACGTTAAGAATGGATTTTGGGGGCTCCTGGGTGGCTCAGGCAGTTGAGCATCTGACTCATGATCTTGGCTCAGGTCTTAATCTCACCGTTGTGAATTTGAGCCCCATGTTGAGTTCCGTGCTGAGCATGAAGCCTACTTAAAAAAAGAATGGATTTTTAAGGGTGCATCTGTGTTAATCTCAATACCATAATCAATGAATTGTCCTTTGATTATAACAATGTAAAAAATTATAACAGAAAATTCATCTTTTATTTTTATATTAAGTCCTTCAGTCCCTCACAAATGGGATGTGACAGTAACAGGAGTGATTTGCCCGTTTTTCTAGTATTCAGCAAATTTTTCAAATTCATGTAGTTGGACCTTGAAAGACAGACTCACAGTTTATCTTTGACCTTTGACTGGGTCATATTCATGGGATTTTGTGTTTGAGGGAGAAGTGAAAGGTTTACACTTTACCCCTGTTGAAATTCCTTGGACACAGTCTTGGTAGTGGAGTAAGTGGGTGCATTGAAATTAGAACACTATTCTGGAGAAGGTCACTGTTGTTCAAGATGGTCAGATATCTTTTCACAACTGGCTTAAATGGGAATTTATATTCTTTCTTTCGTATGTTTTTTTTCACAGCTGTTGTGAACTTGGACAATTCTGTGGTTGATCTGGAGACCCTTCAAGCTCTCTATGAGAATGTGAGTAATAGAAGGAATTTTATGTGTGAGTATATAATACACAATACTTGCCAATATGTACATCTAGACTCATTGTCTTAATGTCCTTTAAGAAAAATTGATCTGGGTGCACTGAAGTTACTTAAGTATAAGTTTGTTAAAGTACTTTCTAGGAAACCTACTGGACAAATGTGTGGTCTCATATTTTCAAAGATTGTGGTTCAAAGCATGCTGTATGTGAGGTCATTCACAATCCCTCTTTTGAAATATAATAGTCAATACTTATGTAGAGGTTAATTTGAGCTGAGCATTGTTCTGTGCACTAACTCAGTTAATTTCCACATGAAAACTCTAGATAGGTTCAATTATTATCCCCATTTTACATATGAGGAAGTTTAGGCATAGCAAGGTCAGAAGACTTGTTCAAAAATCACAGTTCACAGTCATATTAGTTCAAGTAGTAACAGGCTAGATTTTTTTAATAGCCACCTACAGTAGAGGAAATTAAAGAATCCATTATGAATAATAGGTAAGTGTGTATAACATACAAATAGAATTCATGATAATTCCCGGTTCACTTCCATTAAAATACAAGTCGAAAGAGGGAGAAATATTTGTTTTATGCATGGCAATATCCCCAGCATCTAAGGTTAAGGATTATTGGACACATAGGAAGTATTTAGTAAATGTTAAATAAATGTTCATATGAATTAATGAATGGAATCTCCAGACAGGGTTTATTTCAAAACCTCTTTTGGGCTATCATGTGGTTTTCAGATACAGTTTGCCTGTTCAAACTGATTGATACCCACTGGAAATAATGATCTGTATTGAATATCTATTTGTGCTGTTTTCATTTTTTTAGTAGCAAGAGGATTTCTTGTGCAAAATAATTAATGATTATTTCCAGTGGGGTCTGGTAGCCCAGTCATAATTTACTGTAACCTGCTATATGTAAAGAGTATGGTTGACACTTTGAGAAGGGTAAATGAGGGTTTAAAATGTTCATATTTTAAGAATTGTGGGTCATGAAGTAGAAAATACTGGGGACTGACCTATTTTTATACAAGGTTTTCAGTTTTCTAGGGATAAATGCTGAGGCAAAAATTTGTGCTTTTTTTGAGTAAAAGACAACAGCAGTAGATAAAGACTTCCACATTTAGCGAATGAATATGCCAAATAGCAAAGCAAGGAACTCCCTCTTAATTAAGAAACAATTGAAATAATTCCCTATTCATGCAAGATGCTTTTATTCAAATGCCTTCTTTTCAGTTGTTTAGGGTCCTAAAATTTCCTGAATTTTTAGAAATAGTAATAGTTCAATATCTATTATGCACCAAGCATTATTCCAAGTCTGGGTATTTGTATTGATTCATTTAATCCTCTAAGTGCCTTATAGCCTATGATTTATGAAGAAGAAATACTATTGCTATCTAACGCTTTTTAGAAAAATAAGACAGAGAGGTTCTTACAACTCAGAGTTGGCTTGGTCACTTGGTCACCTCCCTTCAGGACTGTGCTCTAAGCAAAAAATTTCCTGACTCATGGTGATAACTGAACTGAGCCTTCAAAAGGACCTGAGATAGCACTGTTTGGTGGAAAAGAACATGGGATTAAAAAGTCATAAGAACTCTGTTCAGGTTCCAGCACCACAATTAAACAGATATATGTCTTCATTCTTTAGTTTCCATATTCTCATTTATAAATGGGGTTTCTAATAATTCATAATAACATCAACTTTTTGTCACCATCAAATGGATGTAGAGTTTTCTAGACTACTCAATACTATTATGCTTTGATTTTTTTGTAAATAAAAATAAGTGTGGGCATAGAACTATGATTGTCAAATTACAGATGATTACATCTAAGATTGGTTTAAGATTAAGGGTAATGAAGGTTGTGTGCCACGTAAATTAAAGTAAAACTGGACCTTTTCCTCAAGGGTCTCAAGGATTTGCCAAGTGAAGCAGAATAAATACCTCTATGTTTACAAGCAACATGAATTAATAGAGAATACTTTTTAAAAGCTGTAAAACTCAGAATGATACTACTTTACTCACAATCATCATTTTAAAATTTGTTTTAGCTTTTTTTTTTTAAAAGATTTTATTTATTTGAGAGAGAGAGAATGAGAGAG